TTGCTGCTGCTGCTCTCGAGTCGCAAAAGTTGTTGACAGGCATCTCGACGCAGCTCAGCTTGAAATAGTTTGCATGAAATTAAAATAATCTCTAAGATTTATTGCTCTAGAAAGCGCAATTGACTCGACTCGACTGGGTGTCTATTTTTGGGCCATTGTCAGCAAGCCTTTAAATATGCTAGACTGAATTTAAGGCGACTTATGCAAATTAAAGGATAAGAGAAAGAGGAACATTCAAGTAGTTGCCCTTGTTTATCGGCGGCTAGCCAGAGAACGTAGCAAATTGGCTCAAGTGCCGGTAGCTTTGTTTAATGGTCGAAAGGTACATATTTGCGTTTACTTTGGACGGGAGAGAAGGAGTCCCTTTTCGTTTCTCTCCTTTATTTTATAGCTTCGCTCGGGGCATTTCTCAAGACGCTGTCAGCTCTTCAATGGTAAATGCAGCTGCCACTTTGGCCAACTTGTTGTTGACTTGTTGCCACTCTGACCGTTCGGAAAGAAAAGCGGAAATGAAGTTGGCAATGCGGAAATGCCATTTTTCATGATTTTTTCCATGCACACACACTCCCACCCCGAGATATATGTATATTTGGGATGTCTTTTTTCCACTCCGTTTCTTGTTTCTTTTGGTTTGCTTCTGACAAATTGTTTGGCGTTCTCTAGCTAATATTAACAGTGCAAATGTTTCTACGGAGACCGGCTGCAACTGGGGATAAAACGAGAGAACTAAATCATCTGGATATTCTCCTGGCCTTTTATCTAATTGGAAGGAGTCTGTATTTATGGGCTTAGATACTAACACAATTAAATTGGAGCGGTCTCCGGCTAGGCAGTGAATAATTAAAGCATAACCTCTACATACCAAAAATCTGATAATATCAGTCATGTTTACTAACGAGTTAACAAACTTCTTTTCACGTACCTGCAACGAAAAAAAAAAATGAAAACCCATTATTAACAAACAGATTCAATTTACAGCAAATATTGATGGTCATCGCAGACTATTTTTAATGCCTTTAACCGAGGGTTCGATGTCTGGCGGAGGGACGCAGTTCAAGCATCGATCATAAATGATGGAGTGCGGCAATCAAGATAAATGGTTCCGTCGAGTGCCGTAGGAGCCATGGGCAAAAGAAATTCACGACTCGGTGGCCATTTATTGTTGAGCTCTCGATGACATCACTGCGTATGCGCAATGTGCGACGGGAACACTTTTAAAGTGGCGAAAAACAAAAAATCAAACAAACTATTTACAAATTGTTGGACCCTTCGCAGAAAGTCATAAATTGAATGCGTGGCATAAAAGCATTTATCGAATATTTAGAGCAAAGTTCAGGCCGCTTTCTTTGCTAAAAACGGTTGGGCCGGGAAAAAGGGGCTGTAATATTCGGTGGGAGTGGCCCAATTTTATGGGCTCGAACATTTTTTACGAGCACTTATTTCCGCCCCAGAAATTAGACAACTGCTTGGGAAGCGTTTATGCCCGAAAGGGTGTTGTTTCCCAGTAAGTTGAGTCTTTATTTCGCTCTCGCCTCTCCGATATCTCTGTGAATTTATGATGTGTGTAACAATCGGGCCATTGTTAAGGTTGCCCTTGGCCATTCACTCGAGTATGTCATGCAAATTCTGCTTATTTTACTTAATGCGATTTTTACGAGAGCTTGTCAAAAGGAAGGGATTAATTTGCTCCCGGCAGTGGCTCAATTTTCGGCCCATGGATAAATAATAATTTCCATTGGGGTTTATTTTCCCTGAATTACTCTTTTATACTGCCCAGTGATGCTTAAAATTTAACTTTCCGACATTTGTCATGTTTTGTTTGTCTTGTGTTTTGCTTTCCCCGCCGGCGCAATTTATGCCCGAAGAAGCCAAAGGATGTGGTACGTGCAGAAAGGCTCTGCTAAGCCTAAAAGTATGCATAACTAAAAAGAGCACGTTTCGCAGATAACCAAACAGCAAGCGGAAAAGAAAGCAACCAAAGCAGCACGAAAATCAGGCAGGAAAAACAAGACATCGATAACTGTGTACAGAGAAAAAAATGGGTCTTATTAAAAACCAACAATGTTGTAAACCTACTTGCCATTTCCTATTGTATTGGTGTTATTTTTAAAAACTCATAATTCGATTAAACAGGCCGGTAAAAATCTTTACCAATAGTCTGCCTTTTAATAACGATTTTGTGCCTTAAAAAATATTAATATAAACAATATGATTTGTCCACTTTAAAATTAATTTAAAAATTTCCCAATTTCTTTCAGTGCCCCAGTTTGTGTGTGATTTTTGGGTCTGTCCTATTGTGTGCGTGTGGGATAACAGATATGTTTGTTATTTAGGCAAATGATTTTTCGCTCCGGGTCTGTTTGCCAATGAAGCGGAAAATGCAAGCCGAAACGCAGCTGTGCAAAATTGTTGGCATTTAAATGGGTCACAAGGTCGCAGCGGAAAGGAGAAATGCTCAAAGCCAAACAATAACAAAGGCCAAATAAAATGAGTTGCCCGGCACTAATGCAAAACGGAATCGAGGGAAACCGCACAATGGCCGAATGGAAAACTCCGCCATCGAGAGAAGCGAAATTGCACACAAATGCAGTCAAAGCATCGCACAAACATCAAGCCACAATAAATGCAAAAAAAAAATCAAATGTAAATATCAACAAGCAATGCCACAAGGAAAAAAAGCAGAGCCATGCCAATGCGAAGCGGCAAAAGTGACAGACAAATATTGGAAAAATGTAACAAAGGTAGGAACCACGGCAAAGGGAATTCCAAGCAGCGAGCAAAGGAAAAAAAATTAAATAAAATTACACAAGCTTGGATGGCTTAAAAAATAAATACTCTCAAATAAATCTCAATTCTAGAGTTTACAGTTTTTTGTTTCAATTAAATTACTTCCAAACATAATTGGTCAAATAAGAATTTGATTTCGCAATTTGCCTTTCACGCAACTTGGTAAATAGGTCAAATTCTTTAGATTTTTTTATTGAGCTACGAATTCGGCAAGTAAAAATTGAAATTTTGTAAGGCGATAAGACAGGGAAATATTATTTCATTTCACTCACTAGCATTTTAGCTTGCCAAACCAATTTTTCTAGCCGCCCGCAAAAAGCAATATATATTTTCCGTTGGCGTTGCCGTGTAAAAACAAATAAGAAAACATCAATTAAAAACAATAAATAAAAGCCGGAAAACTTTTGCATTGCATCAGCAGAAAATGAAAACGAAAACGAAGCTGAAACGAAATAGAAGCGGGAAAAAAATCATCGCAGGGCTTGGGTTTTTAACAATAGTTTATTGCCTTTTCTCTAAACAAAATCCCAAGCAGTCAGGCCTGTTTGTTTTGGCCGAGTTAATTGCAAAACCACAAGCTGTTGCCAGAACCTGGACCTAAAAATGTGCCACCGAAAAGCGTCCAGCCTCCTGGAAAATTCGAAAGCCTTTCCACAACTTTTTCGCTCAACATGAATATCAATATTTGAGAGCAACTGTTGTAATTTACACACATCTCTGCCTCCTTTCCGCTCGCAAACAAACATGGAAACTTTTTAATTTTCGTTTTCATGGCCAAAAGCCCCCTTGTCTTCGTTTGCGCTCATGTTGATTGCACATCATTTTCAATGTGGCCCGCAACTGAGTCTATTTTTTCGCCGTTTCCATTTACCACGAGCTTATGAACGGCTTAGTGACGTATTAAACAATTGAAAAGCATTTCCACAGACTGCCGCAGTACAACGAAAAATATATAAAAAGCCACGATGTGGTAGAAGAGGGGGTTGGGCGGGGAAAATTGATTGCCAGTTCAGGGGCAATTTTTAATGAACAGCAAATAACAATGACGCCGGGGCTTACCCATAGAAATGTGTAACAAATGAAAAAACCGAGCAACATGCTACATGCCACAAGTTACAAATCAAATTTGGGAAATGGCATTTGTGACATGCGCTTAATTGCTCATTTTGATTCAGCGTAATATTTTTTTTTTTTTTTTTGTTGAGAAACGTGTTGAAAATATATGAAACCTATTTATTAAAATCGTTTTTTCTTGAACATAAATTATTTTCCTTTTATATAAGCAGTTTATAACACCACTTAACTCATTGTCATTCGAGCAATTCTTTTTGGTCTCATCAGATAAAATGCTTTTAGTTTCGGCATCCTACTGACATCCTGGCAATCTGTTTTAACCCCGTCAACAATCCGCACCTATGTCAAATATTTTTCCAACCAGCTTAACCATTCAAACTCAGCAGACCTGGATGACGTAAAATGTTTTTGATGTCCGCCACGCCAAATGTGGCAAATTCCTGGCCAACATGCCGCATAAATAAAATGCCCCAAATGCACTCGACTAAACACACTTGTCCGCACACACACACACACAGACTCACAGATAGGGCCACCTACACAACTACCAGAAAATACTCACACAGATAAGCTAGTCAATATTTGGAGAGCGAATTCGTTTCTGGTTTTCGGGGAATTTCGAGGCAACTTTATTTGCTGTCATTTGTAGCGAATTTCGTTGGCACTCAAGAACTCAGCAATTTGTTTTTAAGCGATTTTATGCATTTGGCAATCTTTTGGCGATAAAAGTTTGCCACTTTACATAGCCTGGAGTTTAAAAAAGATACATAATTTTATTCCGCTCTAAGCCATTTGGCTTTTGCGCATACATAACGAAACTGGGATAGCTTTAAAGATTTTTATTTGAAAATAATTAAGCTGAAACCAATACCAAATAAAACCAGAATGTCATTCTTCAAAACGAAGATACAAATTATTTGAAACTGTTTTTTTTTTTATAGAAAATAGTATTTACTGACACACCCTGATGACAGTTTAGAATTGAAATAAAGTGCCAGCAAATCGAATTTATCTGCCTTTGTGACAGGTAAACACATAAACACAGAAACCTATTTTCGGCGGCCAGAGTATTTATCTTGATTTTTCTCGGTCTAGGCTAATAAAAATGGGCGAGGCAGAGTTCAATATTTATCACTCACCTGAATTGGGTCCATTGCTGTTGGGTCGCGCCGAAGGAGCTCCATCCCGAGCCTCCACTTCGAGGGCATAGGCGCCCTTTTTCTCCCTGTCGAATACGGTTTTCGTGAAAATCTCTCCGCTCTGCAGGTTGATTTCGAAGAATTCTTTGCCCTCGTTTCGCGGTGAATCGACGATGTAGTAGTAGACCTGAAAATGAATATAATACACTGGTTTACATCTGCCTGATTTTCTGCTTAATTAAAACACGGCACATATAACATCAAAAGGAGACAAATTAAAAATTAAACTCGAGTCCCGAGAGTGTGGAACTGAAATTTAATTACTGCTTCGGACATTAAAGGGGAACGATAATGATAATCAAATCCGGAGACTGTTTGAGGGAAAATGCGGGACTATAAATGAGAACGCTAATTAGTGCGGACATTTCGCGCGTACATGCAAATTACTTGGCTTGAGGACACAAATTGTGGCTGGCTGAAGACTGGAAAAAATGCGAGGAATGGCCAACGCCAAAGTGCCATATTATTATAATCGCGAGAGCGGCTTGAGGGGACTGTCTGAAAGAGCCGACCCATCTCCGCCCTTTCATCACAAAAGCCATCGCCCGCGGTTGTTCGCGCTCTGCATTTTGCATTAGTTTTCCTCAACGCCTGGACTTTCCCCATTTCACCAAGGGCTTAGCACACACTTGGAAGGCGTGCAAAAATGTTAGCTCTTTGACATTTATTAGCCAGCTGCCAGCTGATGGCCAAATGGGCGAAGGACGTGGTCAGCGAAGGAGCAAAAAACAATTACAAAGGCGTGAAAGGGTCGGTAACCGTGGGATGGGATAAATTTAGGTGGGTCAAAAACTGAGTAAAACATAAAGATGGCGATGATAATGGTAATTTAAAGGGACTTAAGCAGGCTTCTTTGAGCGAATCGCAAGATGAAGGCGCTTAACAAATTTCTAATTTTCTGGATACATAGAAAGGTGGCGTTGCCTTGGAAATTAAATTAACATTGATTTGAAGGGCTGTTTGAAGGACAATTTACAGATTATTTAAAATAGTTTGATTAAATAAAAGGGATTTGGGAATAGCTTTCTTGCTGAGTTAATTATTTCTTAAATTTAAATTGGAATAATACTTGCTACAAATTTGAACTAAACTTTAGTATTCTCGAATTTCCCTTTACAAATTTTTAAAGAGACCTGTTAATCGTCCCATTTTCTTTTTGCCTTTCAGCCGTGTCAACCAACCATTCGCTGTTCTTTTATTTCTGTTCGGTGCCATTAATTTGCTAGCAATCGTCTGGCATTTCCGCCGAGTTCCCCCGATTTCACTCCATTTCGCGTTGGGCGGTCCTCGTACTCACCTGATTATTTGGGAATGTGCCATCCTTGTCGATGGCGTTCACTTGTGTCACTTTGGTGCCAATCGGTTCGCCCTCGAGCACCGTTTCCTGTTCGCGTTCGGTGAATAAAGGTATTTCATCATTAACATCCTCGAGCATTATGTAAACGGTCGCTTCCGACGCCAATTGTTGGGCCCCGTTGTTCTGCAAAGAGAGGCGCAAAGAATGGGCAAAAACCAATTTAAAAAGGGTGTATATTTGATTTTTCATAACTTTTTTTTTTCAGTCCGGTGGGTGTTTTTTTTTTTAATTAAGCCGTAAAGAGTGTTTAATGAGTTCCGCTGGCCGCATTTTGCGTCTGATAAAATATTTGTAAATAACTTTGTAATAAAAGTCGACTGATTAAACAAGAATCGAGAGATTCGACTAACTTTTACCTGTTACATAATTTTTTTACAAAAATCAGTACCCTCTTAAAAAATGTTTGCTTCTGGGAACAATTTGCACGTATATTTTATTCAAACTAAACTGATTCATATCCCTTAGTTGTGCTAATGGGTAATTTAACTGAATATTGATTTCACCCTTTGTCTTATGATTGATTAACAGTTGCCATCAATCAATAGCACAAATCTCATTGCCAACTTGTCATTTATTAGTTGGTTTTATGGCCAGATTGAAGCTTGTCCCTGTTGATATTCCTGCCAATAGCTTCATTTGCACAATATTTCGCATTCACATTTCAGCATTACGTTATTAATCAATGCATATGAAATCTATATATGTATATACATATAAACACATGTTTACACTACTGTTGACAGCAGCAAGGACTCTGATGGAGGGCAATGCCGAATTGAATTATTTATTTTGTGTTCATTTCATTTTCCTGGGTAAACACATGTGATTTGCCAGGCCCTTAATTAGACTTGTTATTTACCATGATGGGATGATGGTCCTGTGCTTGATTAGTTGTCAGCAAGAGTACAAATCGAGCTGAGAAAATATTTAGCCTTATTATTGATTTTTACCATTATCAGATTATATAAATCAGTTAAATCCCTTTTCAAATGAAGTCTTATTTTTACTCTATTCCAAAAAAAAAATTCAAAGGTCATCTCGCAAATTAGCGAAAATTATAAACATCGTTAAATTTAATCACCAACCGCAGTTCAAACAAAAAATATATTTGGCGTGTTTCCAAACCACAACACACTAAACAAGAATTAAAAATTAATACGAATATACTGTCAAACTAATATGCGGAAATAAAAACTTTCCGGGCTTCCCTAAACCGCAAACAATTTTCAAAATTAATTTGGAATTCGTTACCCCGACCGTCAAACGAATTTGGCCCACTGGGGACCAGTAGCTTTTAGTGTGTCATTTGCAGTCAGCGAAACTGAAGCCTTCTGATATTTAATTACCTGCACATCGCGTGCAAAATAGTGAAAATCCTTTTGCGCAATTGCATTTTTATAACATTTCATTAGGCAAGTTTGTCGCGATGCATTGCGGTTTGAATCGAAATTCCCATTAATATTTTAACAGCCGGTTTTTTTAGTCTGGTATATTCGATTCGCTGAATGGCCAAACTAATGAGGAAATGGCGAAACTTGACATTGATTGCGAATGCAATTGATTACCGTTCAGCCGCGGGCTGCCATTCAGTCAGTCCGTCATTCAGTCACTCACTCAATCAGTTAGTTTTCTAATGAATTCGAAACGAACCGGAGCACGCATTTGCATTTTCCGACGAGGAAACTCGCGCAAGTAATTAAAACTTTTCAAATCAAATAATTACAAACGTATTTGGCAGTCATTCTCAAATACAAAAGTCAAATACATGTCTAATTGGGCCTAAGACCGACTTGAAAACTTTCGGCTGCCGTCTGCGAATTGTGCAAACATTTTGCAACTTTAAATTGAATTCGCTTGGGGTTTTCTTCAATTTTATTTCTTGTGCCCCAACTTACCTCAACACGTATGGTAAGATTGTATTCCTTGATGCTCTCGTAGTCCAGCGGATGATTCACTTTTATATCGGCCCAAGTGTCTCCATTGTCCGGTCTTTGTTGCAAGTAGAACGTGTGAAATTTATTCGTTTGAGCCGTCGACCCGGGCATCAGACGGTAGAAAACTGTCGGATTGCCCTCGATGCCCGAACTGCAGACGTGGAGGCCAAAGGTCAAGTGTAAAAAATAGATAACATTAGCAAATGTGTATGAATTTTGTTTTAAGTACGTTGTTAAATACTTGCTACATGAAATTATGTTTCTACTACAAATTAAATGTTAATTATATATTAAGTTTATCAAAAATCAATTGTTTAATTATGAAAAGAGCAAAAGGAAGGTATATAATTTTTCCCATCCTTTGCTGCTCCAAAAAACATTCATACATTCACACTCACAAAAATATGTCTTTGGTTAAACACATGCGACATAACAAAATACAAAATGACGACGCATGAATGGAATTTTTGCTCCTAAATTATGTGCAGTCAAAAATTTGCAAGTGGGCTTTAAAAATTCGTTCACATAAAATTCCTTAAAGCGTCTTTTGTGCAATTAAAGAACCAAAAGCAAACCAACCGAATATTAACCAAATGGCTTCAAAAATTCTAATTGCCATTTGACTGTTTCGGGAATGGGTTCGGTACATGATAATGAAAAACAAATTAGGCGCAAAAAGATCGAAATATATATACGCACAGTATATATAAAATATACATTAGTTGAGCCTGTACAACATTTGCAGCTGACAGAACAGGGCGGCGAAAAAAAAGCTTTAAGAACGGGTCTTAAGAATAAATGAAAACTGTCAGGACTGCGCCAAAATGTTTCCAAGGACAAAAACGGCACAAAAAAATCATTGTTGCGAACAAAAAATTTCATCGCGGAATGGGTGGTTGGGAAAATGGATGGGAAATTTGTGGATGGCATGAAATTTTCTTGGAGGTTTCGTTTCGTAGTGTTTGTGTGATTGGATGATGTGAGTAGATTTTAATTTCATTGATTGTGTGTAAAACCTAAAAAATTGTGTTCGAAAATGATGTACTTATTTGCTTCTGTACACTGAGCAGATTTAGAATGCGTTGTAGGTTGTTTGCAGTTTGCTTAATGCCTAAACTAATTGCTATTGTCAGAGAAGAAGTATAAGAAATCATAGAATTGAAATCAACACTTCTGGCTAAGAGATCTATATATATATATATATTTTGTCCTCGACCTTGTCGCCTTTGTTGTTTTGGGCCCTTAAGGACTCCCGGCGCCTCAAAAGCTAACACAATTATTATGATATGCGCGCACAGCAGGGAGTCCTTCAACCCTCTCCTCCCCCAAACACTCTGGGCCTCTCCTAATGGCGTCTAATGTATATATACATATTGTTAACAAATTTCTGTGCTGGGACATGACCAGATAATTGCGAAGAAGAAAACTCAGGGAGAAAACGCTTTTCATTCGAAATAATTTAAACACATAAAAAACAGAGGCGAGAAAAGAAAACAGAAAGCAGAACCCAGGCACGTTTAATAGATTGTAATTTCCTTAATATTGCGCTGGGGAACAGAAAGGAAGTGTACTTAAGGGCACTAAACTAGCGCTAAACAGCAGATCCAGATTCAGAATCAGGCTCAGGTGTGTGCAGGTGCGTATGTGCAGTAACCTCGCATTTTTTTTGTACTCTTATACTCTATTTACGTTTGTTTTTATTTTGTACTTTCTACGTGGCCTTTTGGCTTAAGTGCATTTGCTTTTAGTGCGGCTAAACAGAGAGCGAGAGAGAGGAAAGTGCATGGTTAAAAAACAGGATTGGATAATATAAAAACTGACTTGGACTGACGCATAATTAAAATGCCAGTGCCATGTGGCTGGCTTGCCACGAAGATAAAACGCAGCCCGGGGAGATCCAGAGCAGAATAGTGTCACGGGGGGTCAAAAGTCATTAAAGTCCGCTGCTTCAAGTTTTTTAATTGCAATTATAAAAAACAAAACTTTGTTTAAAATAAACTTTCCATTTTTTTCGCCATCTCTCTTTCCTGCAGAAGCGGCGACTTGTGTACTTTATTTTGTTGCCCCTGGCTGTCACTAAGTGGCAGGTAATTGAAACTGACCGAGCTCATCATGCGGCAAAGGTTGCCAACAAAGCCAACTGGTATGCCATTTCAAGTTTATGCAGCGCTTGCATGTGACCAAAAGGAGAAATGGAAAGACTTTTTACCATAGCTGCGATTACCCTTGGCAAAATATTATCTGCGATTTTGCGGTGGCTTTATGACGGAAAAGTATTTTTGTGGCAAAAATAAAATAAAATATCTGCAGAGATTTTTTAATAGAACAAGAAGTATAAAAGTAGTCAGTTTTTCATTTCTTTATAACAAATCTCTAGCGTTGGCGTAAAAACTAAACTGAAATATATAACAAGTGCTTTTAATATACATATGTGACTTGTGCGGTATAAGGATATAATATGTGTATATTTCACTGGTGCAGTTTAGAGTGCGTTTATAAATGAGGAGGATTATATGGGAAATAATGAAATGGGAAAAGTTTTAACTAGTTGGGTATTCACATTAAATAACTAAATGTTTGTAGAGAGCGTTAAAGAGCACTAAGCAATTAATCCGAAACACTCTCTTCAACATCTATGGAACATCTAGAGCAAACATTCAGAACACACAGAAATGAACGGCAAGACATGACACCAATAACTGATAAAATATGGGAAAAAAACGTCTAGAATTTTATAAAAAAAATATTTAAATCTTAAAAATAAACTAATCAAAATGGAATGAAATTTATTTCATGTTTTTTTTTTTTTTTTGTAATAAACTCTTTTGCACGAAAAATGAACAGACCTGGCTTTGATCGAGACGACTTTGCCGCCAACGGGCATGTTTTCCTTGACATAAATGGGCCCATAGACAGTATGATCCCAGACGGGCGGATTATTTGCACGATCGACCACATCGATCTGTACTTCGACAGTACGCGATAATGGCGGATAGCCCTTGTCTTGGGCCATGGCCTCTAACTTGTATGTCTCGCGCTGTATTTTATATACATTTCACGATCAATATTTTCAAAAATCGTTTTGTTTTTTTATTTTCAAAATCAAGCAAGGCGTTGCAAAAATGACAGACGCGTCGATATTGGTTGGTAAATACGATATTCGTTCAGGAAAAAGGCAAAAAACAAAATTATATAATATAGTTGGAACCTTTTATATAAAGAAGTTCTAAAAAAGGTTTAATAATATTGTAGTTTGTTTTTTGGTTAAAAATCAAAAATGATAATTGTAATCCAACACCTCTTGTTAAAGAAGTTAGAACATAATGGAAAAAATGGAAAAAGAAACTATTAAAAGTTTAAGGCCTTTGCTATAAAGTATTTTTAAATGCAGTGCAATATATAGTATATAGTCTCGACCCTAGCCTTCAAAAAGTAATACATTATTCTTTGGATATTTGTAGCATTTAAATGAAAATTACAACAAAATATGTAATTTAATGAACTAATATAGGGCTTTGTGCATTTTATAAGTACAATTTTCATAGCATACTTAACACAGTTTGCTGCGGTTATAATGTTTCCGATTTGGACTATTGCTTTTTAACATTTTTGAACACTTTGTGTAGTTACTTTTATTCCTCTAGCTTACAGCTAAACTGCAACCTTGCTTATAAAATAGGTCGACTTTGTTGTAGTAGCGTATTTTATAATTGAAATCCAACACCAGAAATTTCACTACGATTCTCACAATATTCCAGTTATTAATTCATGTAGGGAATCTGAGTCGTTGAAGGGGTAAAGATCAAAGATCAGATAGGGAAGAGCCATTCCAATGGGTAATGTGTGTCTTTTGTGGAGAAAAGGGAAAAAAGTCGGCAAAATCCAAAAAGATCTTGGGGGCAACCATTCGAAAAATCAGATTGCTCGCATCAAAACACCAGCGATTAAAGTATTCCAAATGTTCAATTTTTTCATATTTGTTTTTGATTTATTACAGAATTTTTCAGGACTTTTGGTTGCCGTATTCGCTGAGAGCTTTTACGATATCCCACCAAAAAATAAGTTTCCGCATCGCAAAGCTCCGGTAACAGTAAAAAGACCGTATGTTAAAAATACACGAAAGCTTAATGTTATGTTAGCCAAACGTTAAATGCTGTTATTTTTTCAAAAAAATTGTTCTAATCTAGGTTACCGACAGCTGTTAGACTCTCAAGATAGGTTTAGTTTTAGTGTTAGGTGTTGAGTTCTGATTGGCTATACAAACCTTGCCTTAACCGATGTTACAACCGTACCCACAGTGACATTCTCGCGTATGTGAATCGGGCCGTAAATGCTCTTATCCCAAATGGGTGGCTTATTATTCCGATCGACGACATCTAATTCAACGTCGACATCGGCGGCCGAGGCGGGAGTGCCCTTATCGGAGGCGCTAACCCTCAAGCGATATCGATCACGCTGTTGATTTGATTGATTGATTGAATGGGTGAATTTCGATTGAAGCAGTAGTACAGTTTAGGGCCAAAATGTTAGCGTCACAGCGAACAGGGTTAACATTGCAAGGAGTAGTCGAGAACCGAACCCAAAGTGTTAGCGTTGGTTACGTTTTGGTTTGGTTTTTGTATTGGGTTCACGTTACGATTACGTATTTGATGGCATCGTTGTTTAAATGTTTTATTCAATCAAATGTGGTTATAAGTATATGAAACATAAAACAAATGAAATATATAACATAATAATTGGTAAGAAGGGATATATTTTCAAACTTTTGGGATAGGGGCAGGATTAGTTTGGGTGATAGCATTGTTACAGGGAGCTTGGTGGGTCGGTTCACATAAATGGATTGTTTCTTTTGACGAGACTATTTCTTTATCTGTTTTCAGTTGCCCTAAGATGAAGTGAATCTTAGATTTCACAACTATTTACATTTAATGAAGTTTAGCCTGATCCTTGAGTTAGTTTTTTCAGGTTAGCTTACATTTTTGGCTTATGACACATTTAGGGGTTAGCACAGTAACAGTAATCGTTTACTTACTGGATAACAACCCTAAATTGTTGATTTAACATTCGAGTACCATAATTTTGGATATGTAAAGATAAACGGTAAATTAAAATTGAAACAATTAAAACGCCTCAATCACCTTCCATTGTCAATTGACAGAAAAGAAGAAAATAATAATGTAAAGGTGCAGTTAAAACAAGAAGATTTTAATATATCCTATTAATATCCATAACAGCCGCATTTTATATGGGCATGCAAAAACAAATGTTTTTCAAAAATCTTTATTAAACATTGGTTTGAAAAAAAATAATTTTGAACTACGGCAAAAATAGGTAAAGCTTACAGCAGGAGACATTCAAAAATTGTATAGTCTCGACAAAAAGGTTTTGTTTTGATTTTGTTTTGGGATTTCATGGGAACTTTTTTGGGAAAAAAATAAAAAGGCAATACAAAATTAGAGTATTGTAATCGTTAATCTATACCTTAAAATTTATTGGTTTGGACCTTCAAAAATAGGTACAACGATGCTCAAAAATATTCGTGATCGTTTTGGGGTATTCGTTTCGAAATATCCATTATATACACTTTTCTTAAGCCTATTAACCTGGCACCAAAAAAAACAAGCAGCTGAACTGTTATAAGCATTTTTCCCAACTTCTGATACTTCGGGTTTTTGTTTCGTATTTTGTGTTAGTTTGATTTGTTTCAAAAAATGTTAAAAATCAATTTTCTTTCTTGGCATTTTTTTGCAAGTGGTTAGGTTTCTTTCTTTGGCCAATTTTTTCGCACTATAAACTAAACAAAACAGTTGAACTGAACTAAAATATATTTTTTAAGCTAGACTTAAACGCAGGTTTCGATGGATGTGGCAAAAAAATTGCACTGATGGCACATCAAACTCTATTTCACCTACAACTGTTTTGCGGACTTGTAAAATATTGAAATACAAATAAACGAAAGGTGCAGTTTGAAAGAAAACCGAATAACGCAATGATAAGATAGATAGTTACAGATACAAGCCGCTGAAAGTCACTAATACTTGGTTGACGCTAAGCATCCGTCATTGATTTAGTTAGTAAAAAACATAAAGAGTTTTCCATTTTGGTAAATCAAACTCGAAATAGAAATTATAAGACTTGGTTAGTTGGGATTTGGGTAAATCATAATTGGGGTAATATATGTTTTTAATCTTAGCAAGACCAAATGAAAAGCAAACACTTACGTCAAGCGGTTTCTTCAGCACAATCCAACCGGATTCGGCCTGAATTTCGAAGTATTCCAGATCGTTGGGATTGAAGGGGGCAGTCAGGCTGTAAACTATAGCTCCATTGTTGTCAGCATCTTCATCGGAGGCGGAGACACGGAGGATATTCGTGCCAATGCTGGCATCCTGCTTAACATTTTCCACGTATTTCTATAAATGATTTGATAATAAGTAGTGGTTCTTTTTCGGAAAGTATTAAATATTTGTATCACTCACCTGACGATCGAACAAAGGAGGATTATCGTTGACATCTGTGATCTCCACGGTGAAGGAGCAGACACCCTCCAGACTTGGATCTCCCTGATCGGTGGCCTTCACTGTGACCGAGACAAACTTGCCATCATCTCCCTCTCGATCGAAGACCTTGTTGGTGGACACCTCGCCGGTTTCCTCGTCCACGGTGAACTTTGTACCCTTCTGATTGGGCTGCTGAACAATCGAGTATTTCACCTGTCGCGAGAACATGCAAAATGGTTTAATGATTGACACAAATTGCGATTAGAGCTGTTGAGGCGTTCGACCTCCACACACGACATGCACTGCAAGGTGCATTGAACTTGGCGGGCACGAAAAGAAAATTATGGCCAAATCTCGTCATGAAATCAACCTATCGCTTCTACACACATGCAGGTAATTCAATTAGGTGTGGGTAATCATGTTTGCGTTGGCCTCAAAACACAAATAACGTATAATTAATCAGGTTGGCCGACCGAAAGGGGGAAAGTAATTAGGGAAAGGATAACCCAAAAGGGGCTTCGAGAGCGCTTTGCTATTGGAAGTACTTGGTATACACATCTAAACTAGTTAATGCACGAGCTTATCAAAGTTTATTAGTGTTCAATAGAGATTAAATCAGATGGATACTAGGCAGAGTATTTTATTTTAGGGATACTTTTCTAATTATTAATTTATTGATTGTTTCGTTCTTTTGTTTTTTGGTAGTCCCTACTTTATACGGCCTCAGGAAATCTAACAAAATACAATTAAATTTGACGCATTTGACCACAATTTCATCATTAAAAAATTTTTGTTTTAAAATTAATTTAAACTTCTTACCTGTCCATTCACACCCTTGTCCTCATCAGTGGCCACAACTTTGATGACAGGACTTCCGTTGGGAGCTCCTTCCTCCACTTTCGGATAGTAAGTGCTGCAGTCCTTAAACACCGGCTTATTATCGTTGACATCGGTGATGAAGACCACCACCACGGCGGTTGAGGTGTGGATGGTTTGATCGCCGTTCACGCAACAGGATCCATCGTCCATGGCCGTCACATTCAGTTCGTACTTGTCCCTGTCCAAGGATATGGCCTTATTGTGCAGTCGGATCACACCGGTTATGTCCTCGATGACGAACTGACCCGACGAAGTGCCGCCGCCCACGAATCCAAACCTGACATTATCTCCATCCTTATCGGAGGCCACCACAGTGGTAACCAAAGTATTCGGACCGGCATTCTCATCCACATTCGGTGTGTACACTTGCTGCGAGAACTTGGGCTCCTCGTCGTTCTTGTTTTTGGTGTAAACACGAACGGTCGCCACTCCCGATTTTGGCGGTTCTCCTTTGTCCTTGGCAGTGACTATGAACTCGTAGTACGCATTATTGTTATCCGCATCCAGTTGTTTGTTGTTTACGATGATTCCATTTGAATCCACGGCGAAGTGGTCGTCGGATACAAGGTATTCGATTTCGGCGTTCGATCCGGAATCTGAATCCATTGCTTTTACACGGAGTATGCTTGTGCCAAGAGGAATATCTTCATCCACATTATGAGCTTGGTAATCGGGCAGCTCGAATTTCGGTGCATTGTCATTCACATCAGTAACGCGAATGGTGAGCTGAAATAAAAAATTAGAAGTTAGTCTAAACAACTCTTTACTACTTTAAAGAATGGAAATTAATTCATATGTAAATATGCTTAAGGCTTTAAAAACCCAAACAGGAAGAATACATTGCTTTTTGCTATCATCTCCTGGCAAGGATTTCCAATCTACTCACATCGACGGAGGTGGAAAATCCTCCTGAGTCCTCGGTGGCTGTCACAATCAGCGAGTACACGTGCGGCTGTCGCAGATCCTCAAAGTCCAACTCCTTGGCCAACTTGACAATGCCCGACGTGGGTCCGATGTTAAAGGTGCCGGCTCCTTGGCCCTGGGCCTTCAAAGTGTAGCGGATTTCGCGGTCTGCGAAGGACTTGGCCTTAATCGAAATGATGCTGAAAGGATACGGAAAAGTTAGCAGAGGGAAATGTGAAATTTGCTTGCATATTTTATGTCCATCCACAGGCCACTTGTGTGTCTGTATGTATGTATATGTATGCCTTTTGCCTTTTGACAGTTGTTTTCCCATCGGAATTTCAATGAGGACAAGCACACACAGTGCAGGATAAACACACACGCACACACACACATGGCCGCCGTCTAGCTCACATTGTTATGCATAACTTTTATTGGCAGCCCCTTAAAATTTGCATACACTCGGGAAAAATCGCTGATGTGAAGTTATGATTGTCGATCTTGAATTTTGATGGGTGTCGATAAAATATATTTACCGAATGTTGACATGGTTGAAATAGTTCATAATTTTAACTTCTTATAAAGTCTTACAACATTTCCAAGTATTAATAAAGATTTTTTTGAGTGTTCTAATTAAGCATTCTTTTGGAGGGACCTTTGGTGTGTTTTCTTTTCGATTTTGTTTTGACTTACTCTGAGTCCTTCTTCTGGTTTTCTGGAATCTCGGCTTCATAGCTGGGCATATAGAACTGCGGGGCTCGTTTGCCTCCCACGATTGACAGTCGCTCCTCCGGAGTGCTTTGGAACCTGCGGTCGTCGACCTTTCCGTTCTGATCCTCCGCCTTCACGTACAGGACGTACTCCATGTCGAGCTGGAAGAGATCCGTTCCCCTGGTTCGCACCACTCCAGATCGCTCGTCCACCTCAAAACGACCACCAGTTCGATCGCGAACGATGAAGTAATGGATATTGTGATCCGTGTCGGGATCTCTGGCTTGGAGGGTGAAAACCGGAGTGTTGGGCGGTGCATTCAGTTGCACCACCGCCTGCATGGGCAGGGGACGGTTGATGAAGTACGGCGGCTCGTCGTTCACGTCCTTCACCAGGATTATTACACGCTGGTTGTCCGTATACTTGATGCCAGCTAAAACACAGAAAATGCAGATGGGAAGCATGAGAAATTTTTGTTTTCCTTGTCGGTTTGTTTGTATTTTGGCTTTTTCGGTCGGTTTGTCGAAACTTTTGCCTTTTGTTATTACAACTAATGGACGGTGGTTTGGGTTATACAAGAGAGGGAGCCCCCTTTGTAATTTAAGGCTCTCGGATTTCAGTTAAGCCATTGAAATGCAATCAGCCGGAAAAACAGTCTGAAAGCAAGGCCAACGTCTAGCACAAAATACATTCTTGTTAACAGCACAAAAAATTGATAAAAATAAATTACTGTAGATGATAAAGTTCAAAACTAGTTTCACTTTTATACAATTATCAAAGTATTTATTATCCCCCTAAATCCCTTAAATGCTTTTAAAATATTTACAATTATTTAATCCTCTATCTTCTTAATATCCCACAATCCCTTCTTAGTTCAATAAGTAATTGGTTTTCTAAATTATTTATTTGCGTTCATTCTATGTGTTTAGTTGACTCAACACTTTTCTGGTATTGAACCTCCTTAAATTATTTAATATTCCTTTAAGCTAACAAAATGCCCCAACTTATAATTCCCTCTAAACATGCACACCAAAAATGGTTAACTTAAAAGAAATCAATAAAAGGCCGAGGAAAGAGAAAGGTAAAAAAGAAATGCAGGGGTCGCATTTGTTCCTTTTCTACCTTTGCAAAAAAATGTCTGCACCGGAAAATTCCAATCATGTTGTTGGGCTCCTCCTTTTTTTTTTTTTTTTTTTTGTATTTTCGTTGGTTGGGGCAAACAAGAAGCGGCAAACGAGGGGAACCCCAAGCTGACGGACGCTTATTAGAGGCGTGTGTATTTTTTTTTTTGCGGAAAAAGGGGAAAATGTCGGTGGTGGAAGGTCGGTTGAAGTAGCGGGCAAATAAAGCAGACGATTTACCGGCCCCCGCAAACAACACAAAGAAATTCGAGCGCCATATAAAAAAAGGGGGGAGCCGGGGAAAAAATACGAAGAAAATAGAAGAGAGAAAGAAATGAACCAAAATGGGGGTGAAGCATGTGTAATTTCTCAAGAGCAGCAAAGTGAATTGTAAACAGGTAGCAGAGGCTAACCCTTAACCCGTGTAAGCAAATATTGCAATTGAAACAAAGACGCAACGCGGCGGAGAGTTTGCCAAAAAAAAGGTGGAAATAAGCAGCATTTTCGCTCAACAGATTGCACGGAAAATGCAAGAAAAAAGCTGTGTGCCAAGCGCATAAAGAAAATACCATGGAATCGGATGGAAAAGTGGGAGTAGGTGGTGGGGTAGTAAATTTTCTGAGGCATAACTTGGCAGAGTTATTTGCTGATTCTTGCCAACTTTTGTTATTTCCCTGCCAGCTTGGCATTGTAACGCTTTTCTATGGCTTATTGTACTAGTGCCAAGCAGGTAAAAAATCGCAAAAAAAAAATATTACCACTTTCTATACACATATATAACTTGAAATTTAAATAATACGAAGCGAGTTTCATTGTTATGGCTGTGTGTGAGCGGTACTAATGTGCAATGGGTTTTCTTCTCGGGGAAAAGGCAGCAGCCAACATGGCGGATTTCCGTGGCGACAATGCACACGATGGGTTGGAAAATGGTCGGTGGAAAGCGGGCGAAGCGCCTTTTGTATTCAAGCGGTGGAATAGTGTGTGTATAGTGGGATTAAAATACGAAGAGCGAGATTTTCATTATGTTGGGTGCTACAGCAAGCATGAATAAATGTGATTTGTGATTAAGTTTTTAATGGAAAAACGCTGCAGCAGTGTGCGCTATTCCAAGAATTTCTAATAATAGTTTGGGATAAAAATGAGGAAAAATAAAAGGTCAGATGAATGTAAGTACAACCAGCTTTAACTAGTGTCAACTAGTTTTAAATATGTCTTCATAAAATATAAAGAAACTTAAGCAGCGTAAGGCATCAGGACTTTCTAGCTTATCGTTATATCAAGCACTATATGCAACACACTTTTAATGAAGCACCATACAATTTACACCCGGAAAATGCAGCAATAATGAGCCATCATCTTCGCCACTTAGCCTGCGCACATTCGTTTCAATTTAATGAAACTTCTCGGCCCATCTTGGCCCGCTTTTCAGCACACCCCTAAACCACTTTCAGTGCCTTCCCCATAGATATACTATATATACATATATAGGTATACATATAAGTATGTGTCTGTGGGTGAAGCCTTTTTCTTATCAAAAACGCCATTTTCCCGCACATATGCACATTAAGTGACTGTGACACGCGATGCGAACTGAGGAGAGATCCTTGAGGAGTCAAAACCTCGCAGCTACTATAATACTCGTAATCACTGCCAAGGGATGCCTTATTCCCCCTCTCCGATAACTCCCCTCGGAGTCTTGGCCCATTGTCATCATAAGCTAGCCAAGGGGATGCAGTGGCAGAGGGGTGGGATTTAAGGGGGGTCGGGATGCATCCAGAAAGGGGAAGTGGTTAAGGGGGGCACACAGAGGTTAGCACTAAATGAAACGCCCGAAAGCAGACGGCGAAGATTTTGTACCGGCTTTGTCTCCATTCCCGTTTGCATTGCACTTCAGACGCGCTTCGAGACTACAATGGAAAAACGGTGGAGAAATGGAGGAAAAGAAACTCAGGAAAACAGTAAGGAATAACAAGCGTGAAGCAGGAGAGTTCTAAATACCCTCACCAAAAAAAATTATATAAAATATTTAATAAATTGAATTTGCTGTGGTAGCATCTAGGTACCAAATATTAAGATTAAGGTTATTTATAAAATAAATTCATAAACAAACAGATTTATTTTTTTACGTCAATAAATGTGGCTTTTTATATAATTTATAACATCTTTGCTCAAATTAATAGAGTACTGAACACGTTTCCACTTTTGAGGGTAGAAAAACAAGAGTGAGCTACGGTTAAAGTTTCCCAAAACTGAAAACTGCTGCGGTTGCAACAAAAGCTGCCTCTTCCTCTCCTTATCTCTCTCCATTTTCACAAAGTGCAGAAACAAAACAAAAGTCCAGAAGAAAAAGTGCGAGACTGTCGTCGTGGATAGAACAAACAAAGCTGCTTATTGTTTCAATGGATTAAGTGGATGGCAGCCAAAGTGGAAGAAGCTGCACTGAGCGAAAAAAGTGGGCGTTTGGGGAGCCCAAGCGAAAGAGAAAGGGATAAAAGTTAAAAGGATGCGGCGAAGGCAGCTCATCACAGCTCAGACGATTTTCAGGGGATGCGGCTGAGCGTCTGTGGTGCCATCTTCAAGTGGGTGCCAGCTTGAACTTTTCCAAGTTTTCCCCCTTGTTCCACCCCAGAAAACCACCCATGTAAGTCCCCTTTCACCACGTTTCAAACAGCGGAAGTAAACGAATCTCGGTCTGAGTGAGATGCGCGAATAAAAATTGAATTTGTTGGGAAATTGGCATGTGAAACTTGTGCTACGTGCCGTATTAATGTCACTTTTCCCTATATAAACACAATTTGTCGGGTTACAGTTCGAAAAATTACTATTAAACGATTATGTGTCAAAGAGAATGTGGGTGGTAAAAGTAATAGCTTCAAAACATATTTTTTCGCGCAAAAAATTATGAAAACATCAAAACATCTTATCGACCGCTTGAAAAGTGTTCGCAATTTTTCACCACAATTTAACGGCAACTTAGCGTTTATGACTTTGGTTGGGGGACCGTGTCCTTTCGACTTTCCCGAAACTCCCAAAAGCTGAACAATTTGCACCCTCCGCGTTTTTCGACATAATCAAGAGGGTCAAAATGCGGTTCAGTTCGGTTCGGTTCGTGGCTCTCGGCTTGATTAAAATGCAGTCAAGTTGAAACTTTATTCTTCGCCTCGAGATCCAGGTAAGCGAACTCCAAATGAATTTCTTGATTTTCCGCTGCGGTTTCAATGGAAAAACTTGCGAGGGCGAAGGCGAAGGTCTTCGGTAAATACGTGCAGGAAATACAAGTACAATGTAGAGCAGCAGTTTTCCCCGAAATATTTTTATGGCTGCTGTAATAATTTTCCTTATGCAGGGGCGAGAGTTTTCTCTCTTTTTTACGACCATCCTTTTGCCGTGGACTTAATGAAGCTGTTAACAATGGATTCTGGGGCTTCCAAGCAAGAAAGTAGAAAAAGCCATCGGCAAATATTGAGCATACGTATTGACTGAAGCTAATTCGGATTGGAGTCTTTTTCGGGCGCTGCCATGATTGCATTGGAGAAAAGTGGCAAAGATCCGAGGAAACGGAAACAGGAGCGAGAATAATCGAATCGGAGGGCTTGGGCAAACTCAAGGGATTCTGGGACCCACTGCAACTGATGGAAAGCAAGTTGAAGTTGAGGAAATGAATCAAGAGGAAAACTTTGCCAAATAATGAACTACAAAGGGATTTTTCTTTTCTACTTCTTGATGAATCGTTTTCGGTAAATAACCATTTATCTGGCAAGGGAAGGTGAAGTAGGAGGAAGAAATTTAATATTTCTGTTGGTTATTTCGTAAGGTAAATTGTTCTCAAAAGGAAAAGAAATGTTTTATGGAAAAAAAGTTTTTGAGATAGAACTTGTAGAGAGAAATATTATAAATAGAATATTACAATTCTGTATTGTTGCGCTTTATTTCATAAAAATGCATTCTCTACATCTGGAAACCAGTTTCCGTTTCACGATTAATGAACACATTTGCATGCATTAAAATTTGTCACTGCAAGATGCAGCCAAGAAATTCAACTTTTGGCGTGTGTATCCACGAGATGCTGTCACAGCGGGGAGTCCTCAATTTGAGATGTCATTATTGAGTCACTTAACAGCCACGCAAATGAGTTAACACCTGGACAGGTGGTGCGAGGCATGCAACTGCAGCTTGGTGAAGAATCCAAGGTGCGACAACGAGTTTGCCTGCCGCACTGGAGGATGAAAGCTCGAGGGGAAAACTGCCTGCTTTCGAATGCAAAGATATGCAAGACTGCAGAAAATGGGTAAGAAACATATAAAAAAAAAAG